CTATTTCCATAAGGGGAGGTGTGGAGGTTTAAAGGAGTTGATCCAGAGTCAATGGATTGGCATTAAACAGCACATACAGAAAGGGAAATATGTAGGATACAGTTGCTAGACCATTGACTGCTTATGAACAAGTCACCAGATAAAGGAATGTTTGAAAAAAAAAGCAGTACTATTAATATATGAGGCAACCTTTTTTAAAAGAGCATAGGGATGTTGCTTATGGCAGCACTCTTGAGTAACATGCACAAAGCACTGGGTCTTATCTCACACTGAATAAAAGAGGAGACGGAAGACCATACCTCGGGCAAGAGCATAGCGTGAGCTGCAGCAGCATTTCTCTAGGTGTGCTGTGTAGTCCCCAAAGGCACGAGAGTTCTGGGCATAAATGGGACAGTACTACATCCTCTCTACCCCTCACAGGACAGCCATGGAGTTTTACAGGATCTGGAATGTCTTACAAGAAAAAAGTCCTGATTGATTATGTTGAGCCCAACGTTTTCCATATTTTTGTTAATATGCAAACCTCTTTTAAAATTTTAGCTTATACAACTAAACAAATGTGTTACTTTAAAGTTTTCATTGCATGAAATCTTCCAAATCTATGCTAAAATATTGTGAGTTGTCAATAGAACCCTAGTCTTGAAAAGGTTAAAATTAGATGCTCACCTTACACCAGAATAATCATACACCATATGCTAGAATAGACTCTGAATGGATCAGAAATCTAAACATAAAAATTGAAGCCTGGGGGCTGGAGAGATGGCTCAGTGATTAAGAGCACTGACTGTTCTTGAAGAGGATCCAGGTTCAGTTCCCAGCACCCACATAGTGGCTCACCACCATCTGTAACTGCAGTTCCAGGGGGTCTAGCACTCTCTTCTGGTCTCTGTGGGCATTGCATGCATTTGGTGCACCTACATACATGTAGGCAAAACACTAGAAATAAAATTAAATTAAAAAAACAAAGCCGGGCAAGTTCCTTGAAGAAAACATGGGTGATTGCTATAAAAACGTGACTGTAGGGAGAAGCTTTCTATGACTCCAAATACAGGGGCTATAAAAAATATTGATCCATTTGACTGCACAAAAAATAAAAAAACTTTTTATGTAGCACAAAACTCTCAGCAAAGACAAATGAACAAGTGAGGAGAGAAACCATGATGGAAGGTGAAAAGGATGGATGAATGGAAAGAGAGATGCATCCAAACATATGTACATATAATCACATGCATATGCATGTATGCACACATATATATTTCTTAAATGGCCTTAAGCATATGAAAATGCAATCAATTCTACTCATAACGAGAATAAAGACAGAGGAAAATTGTCTTGTCTCAGGTTGGGAAGTATTTGGAAACTGAAAGGGGTTGTAGCTTTGCTCCTGGGAACCCGTCACACTCATACATCGCTGACAAGAGAGCAGATGGGTGCACTGTGGAGGGAATTTCTCATTATCTAACAGCTCCAAGTATGCAGTTGCCCTTTGTTCCAGGAATCCCACTTCTAGGAACTTACCTTGAAGACTTCCAAGTGTATAAGAAGGGCTATGCCAAGGATTATTCATTGCTGTGTTAATTTCAGTGATTGCAAGTATTGGAAACATGCCCAAATACAGGACAGTGGTGAAATAAATGACAGTGGATCTGCATGTTGAAGCATTATGCAGCCACAACAAAGGATGAGGAAGCTGCCTAGGAAGTAGTATGGAGTGGTGTCCACAATACACTACAAGCCGAAAAAAATCAAAATACAAAACAATAGCCGTTGCATGCTCCCTTTGCCAAGAAAATGGAGTGGTGTCCACAATACACTACAAGCCGAAAAAAATCAAAATACAAAATAGCCGTTGCATGCCAAGAAGGAACGGTTATTCTGAAGAAGTATGATGGACTTTCTTTTGTAAGATGAAACAGAAAGATGAAGTCAGAACCAGTGAGGAGCTAGTTTTACAGTGAGGGCTGGTGGGGACAGACCAGAGGGGAATCCATGGAGGGAAAGGAGGATGCAACTCACCTGAGCACATCTTTCTGTGCATTTTTGATTTTTGAATTGTTCAGGCTTCATTTACTCAATGACAGTTTTAAAAATAACATAAATCAGGAATGACGGAAGGAAAATAAAACCCTAGAAAGTACAATGCAGACAGATGCAGATAACTCTGTTTTGCATGAATAATATAACCACACCGAAGAAGGCCAAGAAGGGTTCTCCCAAGAAAATCTGGGGCCGAATATTTTGACTAAAGAAGAAAATAATCTGAAAGTAGAGAGAGCTACAGCATGGGTTTGTAGGAGATACAGAGTGGGTTTGTAGGAGGGCTAAAGTGGGTTTGTAGGAGGATGATCTGTTGGTTTTGTTTTTGTTTCTGTTTTCATATTTTTATGTATTTGATTTAGTATTTTGGACACTACTTTGGGTGTGTTCTGGACCCATAAAATAAGTAAATCCCCCAAGGATAATGAAAGCCAGATTCCTGGCTGCCTTAAAGGAGTTACTAATATGGAGAGATAAAGCTGAGTATGAACATGTGGCACTGGGTTACTATCACAGGAATCAGTGTGAGTTCGAGGTAGAGACAAGCGACCTTCAAATGGTTCCTGTGATGAACCAAATAATGAACACTTACCCTGTCATAGTGCCACAGTAACCACGACGTTATGGGAACACAAGGACTTGGCAGCAATCCAGTGAAATTTCATCCATGGACACGGAAGTTTGAATTGCTTATAATTTTCATGTGTAATGAAGCATTGTGTTCATTTTAACCACATGAAAATATAAATGGTCAAGGGGCCAGGCGTGGTGTCACATACCTTTAATCCTAGCACTCAGAAAGCAGAGGCAGGCAGATCTTGGTGAGATGGAGGCCAGCCTGGTCTACAGAGTGAGTTCCAGGCCAGCTGGAGCTACAGGAAAACCCTGCCTCAAAGAAACCAAATATATATATATATATATATATATGCAAATTAGTTTTCATATTACACAAAAAAGACAATGGAATAGACTTGGCCCATGGACCATAGTTTAAAACCTCTGATTGATTGATCAGTTAGGTTGATTAATAGTAAATATAATGAAATGGTTGAAGAATCTGGGTAAAAGATTTATACAAATTCTTTGCAGTCTTTTTGTTTCCTCTTTAAATCTGAAATTATTGTTTAATCTGAAAACATGAACCCTATGTTGTCCGTGCATACAGCTGAGAAGGAATGCCACCAGGTCATTGGCCTAACATTCAAACACTGATGCCATTCACATTTCCCACATTCCCTGGACCAAGAATAGGAGTGCCGCCTGCTGCTGTGTTCCTGTCCTGCTCCTGGCCAGTAGCAGGGGTGTCTTCCAATGAGATGGTTATTTCCTCCTGTTCATCCCTGTTTCTCATCACTCTTAGTGAGTAATGAGGTTACCGGGCTGGTAATTTGTACATGACCTCATGATTTTCTATAATACTGGAATTTTTGGTCTGCTGTAATTAAATGGACTAAATAACAGGTGCTTATCAGAAAATGTCCCATTAGCTTGAATGTCTATGACAAATCCCTTCTGAGGTCCTTAATGCGTTATTATGAAATTCAGTTACACAGCATGCGCACCTCACTTATTTTGCCCATCATAATCTAGGGATAGCTCTAAGCAATGATTGAAAGTCTCTTAAAATATTACAAGTAGGAATTCAGTAATTCTTCCATTCAAATGCTTTTATACTGAAAGAATAAGTGACTTACAAAGTGGAAACCTCAACTATATAATCTGGCAAACATTCTTCCATCTCACTAGTTTAATCCCAGCAAAACCATGGCCCCACCTTGGTTTGTCCTTGTAGGCTAGGCCACAACATGAGCGTCCTTGGTAATAGTAACATAGCTGAACAGTAACATAGTTTACTTAGTGATAACACTGTACTCAGATGCATGCCAGACGTTTTTCCTCTAATTCTGTAAACCAAACTCTGTACAGTCACTGGGCAGCATTAAATGATTTGGCCAAGTTCTTACTTTCAGGAACATGGAGCTGAGACTGGCCTTGAAAACTGCTGTTCTTAGTTGCTGGTTGGGACTGCTTTCATTGTAGATTAATACTATGAAATACAGAAATTCAGAAAGAAATATTAAGTCATAAGAACAGGCTTCTGTTTAGAAGGAAAGGGTAAACAATAGAGGCCGCCAGTGTCCATGCAAGAAGCAGAATTCATACTGGAAAATCCTTTCCATTCCCTTCCTGGCCCTTTTCACCTAAGAAGCTCAGGAGCCAGTGTAGAGATGAGAAACATTTGATTCGTGCCTTCTAAAGAGAACCCACATGAATTGTACCCACCCAAGTATCTAGCAGAAGGACAGGAGACAGAGAGAGAAGAGGAGGAAGGTAAGTAAAGGGGCTTTCCACATCAGCTCCAAGACTGACTTCCGCTTACTCAGATGGAGAACGTTATCATCCAGGACATAAGTGACTGTGTCAAGCTCTCTCACCCAAGATCAGAAAGAGCGTCATCTCTGCTCTATTTCTTCTGATTTACTGAAATAATTTCCTTATGTGAAAAAGACTGTGGTACAGGGCTAGTGAGACAACTCAGTGGATAAACGTGCTTGCACCAAGCCTAATGACCGAGTTCAATCCCTGAGACCCACGTTAGGAGAAAACCCACTCTTGTAAGTTGTCCTCTGACTGTCACACAGGAGCCATGTGTACACACACATATATCCATAAATGTAAAAAAATGCAAATAGGCTAAAGCTTAATAGCAATACTAATAAACTTTTGAGAGAATTATATATCCATTTAGTTTGATGTTTTATCAAACAACTAATTGGTTAAATGATCAACTCCTTATTAACCATTTTACAAGACTACTAATTACCTGGACATCTTATCTTTCTGAACCATGAAGGAAGATAAAGTGTTTCTTTGTGGAAACCCCAGAGAATTGAAAATCCAGGGGAAACATTAAATCTTTATGGAATTGCAGCAGTTACTGATTCCCTTTCTTTTCTTCTTAGGGACTGGTTAAGCATGCTGAGCCCACCTATCGTCCCTCCCAGTCAACAACCAGTGGAGCAGCCTCTGGATTCCTCTGGAAGTTTGAGTGCTCAAGGTGAGAATACAAAAGAATGCTATACATTAAAAAAAAAAAAAAAAAAAAAAAAAAAAAACTAAACCATTTGCTACAAATAGAGAAATTTGGTCACAGTGAGATACCAGTTCATTACTGGTCATGTGGCTGCACATTCAAACTGAGGTGGCCTGTGCCTCATCTTTTAGGGGAAGTTCTTTTCTAAACAGATTAGAGAGGTGAACTGTCCCTGTTCTGAAGGCCAAACCCAAGGCGAAATATAGTTGAAGGCATTATAAGCATGGCTTTGGTACTTTGGTACATACAAATCGGCCCTCATCTGATTTCCAACTCTCCCAAGTCCCACTGTATGAACACTCTAAATTTTGGTTGCCTCCTTTATAAAGTCCTGATAGAAGACAATGTGTCTCCCTGCCCCCACTGCTTTCTTGTAAAGAGACAGTGAGGTATGTCTTTGACGCTCTGAGAACAGTGCCCGCCGAACACCAGCTACTGGTATTATAATAACAGAGCAGCACCACAGGGAACAGCCACGCACTGTGTGATGATGTTTTGATCAAAAATGGACCTCACCTATGATGCCAGTCCTAAAAGACTGTAATGGACCTGGAAATTTTCTAGTTCCTGGTATCCTGTCATTACAACTGTCATAACATCATAGTAGAACACATTGCTCATGTGTTTGTGGAATGGTTGTGTAAACAACCTACTGTGCCACCAGCAATTAAAGGTCTAGCACACATAAAGTACCTAATACATGATAATAACGAACTATACTGGCTCGTGTACTTTACTATACTTTTTAATCTTTTTTTTTCACTTTATGTGTATGAATGTTTTACCTGCATGTATGTAAGTGCACCACATGTGTGTAATGTCCACAAAAGTCAGAGGAGGGCATCGGCTCCCCAGGAACTGGAGTTACAGTGCTTGTTAGCCACCATGTGGGTACTGGGACCCGAGCCTGGGTCCTCTGCAAGAGCAGCCAGTGCTCTTAACCCCTGAGCCATCTATCCAGCCCCTTATTATTTTAGAATATATTACTACTCATAAAAAATGTTTACTATAAAACAGCATGCCATGTTACAGCAGCAGCAGCCTCATACATCTCCTGTTTACTGTGTTTCTTGATCGCATCAGGAGGCCACATCAAGTGATCAAGCTGTGCCGTTCAAGATCACATAAATTAGGATACACTATGACATTTTCACAACAGTTTCTCAGATTATGACCCCATTGTTAAAGGTCTATGCCAATACAAGGTTTCCTCAATACAGAGAAGCAGCCTTTGCATTAGAGCCAGGTAGTGTGAACTCTGGTAGGGAGCTGGGATGAAAATGCCCGTGGTGTACCCTCTGTTGCTGAGAGCCATGAAGATGGACTCTAGTTTCTGGTTAGGAGCAGTGAACCCGGACATCAGGACTGTGTGGAAGATAAACACTGACATATCTTTGGACTGGGATGTAGCTCAGTTAGAGTGCCTGCTTAGCATGATAAAGCCCTTGGTTCCACATCCAACACTGCATAAAACCAGACATGGTGGCACACGCCTATAATCCCACCACTCTGCAACTCAGACAGGAAAATCAGGAATTCAAGAGCATCCTGTGCTAGGTCCAGGCAAATCTGTGCTACTTGAGATTCTGTCTCAAAACAAAGAAACAAACAAAAAGAATCTTTGGTGAAAACAGGTTGAGACGGCAGGGATGAGAGGAAACTCAGGTGCATTCAAGTGCATGGTTGGAGTGACAAATGTCCTCAAGTCAGGCCCTGAGACAGTTTTCTGGGTTGAATTTTGAAGATGGAAGCACTGTTTCTAAAGGTTTGTTTTTTTAAAAAAAGTGAAACCAATATAAATTGTTCTAACAACAGGGTCAGGTCCTCCCTCCCTTGCCACCCAACTGCCCCAGGGAGAAAGTAGAGCAGCCCATTTTTCTTCAGGTGTGGAGAATTCAGAGTGAGAGGTCATGCATCTGACTTGTACTTTGTGGCCACCCAAGGGATAGAGATAGCTCTGTGATTTACCATCTGAAATGCATTATGCCCCTCAAATTGGGAATCTTTTTAGAAGTGTACATTTATAATTACTTATGACAGAAAAATAGAATCTTAGCTGTCAGGAGGAGACCTTGCTGTGAAGGAACAAATAATATGTTAAGTGTCCTAAATAAACCCAGGGAACCAAGAGCATGGTCCTTGAGCAAAGGCATATATATTAGTGATAAGTGACTGGAAGGATATCTTCAGGTCGCCACTGCAAAGCTCAGTTCTGGCCGTAGGAGCTGTATTATGTTGAAAGTAAACAGAACTTCCACTGAGGACAAATTCACAAATACTAGGAGTTGCAGCAGCAAGCTGGTCCGTGTTAACCAGATGAAGGACACCCCTCTGCCTGTCACCCCGATTTTCTTTCGGCTGTCCACTCTCCTTTTTTCATGAGCTTATACTTAATACTTTAATGAACTAATGTTTCCTGTTTGTTCACCACCTCCTGTTCTGATATGCTTGGATGGTCTGTAGTTAATTAATAGCATCAAAACTACTGTTTCCTACTTGCTTAATCTCGCCACAGCAATGTTGAGATTTTCGGCAGCCTATTACTTGCTGGTACTTGCTGATTCACTGAGATGGGGTTTCCATCCATTCCCATAAGTTATTTGCAGGATAAAAATAATGGGTCAGTTGTGCAATGATTGGAGGAATTATCCCTCCCATTCTGCTTTGTGGCAGTCTGTCAAGAACTGGGACTTCTTTAAATGTTTATAGAGTTTCATGACTCTGGGCTTTTCTTTGTGACAAGAACTCAATATTTAATTTACATTCACTTCAAATTTTCTTTTTGTTCTTGAGTCAGTTTTAGTAATTTTCATCTTTTTAGGAAATGGTTCATTTCACTGAAATTGTCTGTTAGTTGAAAGTTATACACAACTTTTTAACTAGCACTGTCTTGTAATCGTTTTAATTTCTCCTAATATTAATCATAAAGTTCTTTCTTTCATATATGCTTAGATAACTTTTGCCATTTCTCCCTTCAAGTTCTGTGTAAATATTTCTCTATTTTTCATCTGTTCAAATAAAGTTTTAGTTTTTTAAAATATATTCTTTATTATTTTATTTTATGTGTGGGAGTGTAATGCCTGCACGTATGTGAGTGCACCCGTGTTGTGCAATGCCACTGAGGTCAGAAGAGGGCTTCAGATTCCCCTGTAACTGGAGTTAAGGACAGTTCGTAGCCACCATGTGGGTGCTGGGAATCAAACCCAGGTCCTCTGCAAGAACAGTCAGTGCTCTTAACCGCTGAGCCATCTCTCTATAAAGTTTTAGTTTTACTGTAAAAAAATAAATAAAAATAACAGTGGGGCAGGTTTCCAGTTTATATCATCATTTGAAAGGGGGTTGGGGAGGGCTCTGGTCTTCTGGGACTCTTCCTGAGTTTCTGTTGCATTATTCATTCATTGGCACTCAGTGCCAGGCACTGTGCTAAGTCATTGAATTTAATTCTCATGCCATCATGGGGAGGAAACCCTGTGTGTCACAGCAGAGGAAACTGGGGCATGGAGTTCTTAAATGACTTGCCCAAGGTCATACCACAAAAAAATACAAGGCTAGGCTTTGAATGCTAACAGCCTGGCCCCAGAGCCCAACTATTATATCTTTACACTCTTGAGTTTTGAACCAGATAAATGGATTATCTATTTAAAACCTAGTATACAAAGCCAGGAACTGGGGCAAGAGAGATGGCTCAGCAGTTAAGAGCACTGGCTGCTTTTGTAGAGGACCCAGGTTCAATTCCCAGCACCCACATGACAGCTAACAACCATCAGTAACTCCAGTTCCAGGGAAATCCCATGCTCTCTTCTGACCTCCGAGGGCATTGCACTACACAGGTGCATTTACATACATGCAGCCAAAACACTCATACACATAAAATAAAAATAATAAAGTATTTTTTAAAAAACCAGTAACTGAAAAAAAAAAAATTTTATATTGAGAGTTCCTGATCAATCAGAAAAAAAACGAAACAGCTCCAGGGCTAAACCACTATGCTCTTAGTGACGTGGAGAGGACAAAGAGCGAGAGACCTGAGACCTCTGACCAGTGCCTCAGTCTGGGCCTCCTGCCTTCCCACCTTTCCTTATTCAAAATGGCAGGTAACCACAGTTGATGAAATCGAAGGCAAGGCCAAGAGCTGGGGTCTCTGGCCCATAGGCCTCCACAACCTAGGTCTTCGCATGTAACTTGTCACCTGACAGGCCTTCCCAGAGTCTTGCCAAAGACTCTCAGTCCTCAGTCTCCCACCTGCTATCTCCTCTCTCTCTCTGTCTCTCTCTCTCTCTCTCTCTCTCTCTCTCTCTCTCTCTCCTCCCTCTCCCTCTCCCTCTCCCTCTCCCTCCCTCCCTCCCTCCCTTCCAATATTTCCTTCAGGTTCTTTCCTCAGTTTGAGACTTGGAGGCTGGAGAGATGGCTCAACGGTTAAGAACACTGGCTGTATTTGCAGAAGACCTGGGTTTGAATCTCAGCACCCCTTGGCAGCTAACAATTGTCCGTAACTCCAGTTCCAGGGGATCCGACAGCCTCTTCTGTCCTCCTCGGGCATTGCACGACACAGGTGCACTTACCTACATGCGGGCAATACACGCATACACATAAAATAAAAATAATAAATAAAATTTAAAATTTAAAAAAGAGCAGACAGAGACTTTGCCAGTTTGCTCACTCCCAGGCCCAGGTCGCTGTGCATTGCTGGTATGTATTAGCTTCTCTGAATTCTCATTAGAAAAAGACAAGAAAGAAAGGGAGGGAAGGTGAGACATGCTCCTCCCTTGGCCATTTCCTACAGCAACCCTTGAAAAACGGAGTGGTTCACAGACCTGACCTCCGAGTTCCTGCCTCAATCCAGTATTTTGTGTATTGGTAGACTTTGAGAAATCAAACATGATGGCAGTGACTTCTGCATTATATTTATAAGTAGTGAAAACTTACTTCAAAGGACATTTCAGGTGAAATCCTAATATATAAAA